TTTAAAACAAACAAATAAGGCTGGGTGTGGTGGCTGATGCCTGTAATCCCAGTATTTTGGGAGCCCAAGGCAGATGGATCACTTGAGGTCAAGAGTTTGAGACCAGCCTGGCCAACATGTTTATGGGTCAAGATGGCCAGGGGGAGACCTATGTTAATTCTAGCTAAATAATTATAAGCTTGCTTGGCTCAGAATACACTGAAGTTTATACATTGAACTAAACTATATTATTGGTGTTAATTAGAAATCACTTAATTAGAAATCAAGCAGCAACAGGAGGCCTAAGGTAAAGACCATCTGAGAGCGCAGTAACACCAGGGAACACCGAGGGGTGACTTCTGAGCAGGCAATACTGCTCTGGTCCCATAAATGCCTTCTCAACATGGAGACTGCATGAGGGTCTGTTAAAAGAGGGCTTATGAAAAGATCTCTGAGAAGGGAGGCTACTCTGCTCTCAAAATCTGGAAGGGTCTTTGCAGATGGGAGCTGGCAAGGAGAAGAAAAGCCTTGCAGGGCAGAGATCACGGAACGCCTCAGGCTGTGCCTAGGTTCTAGGAATTTGGAGTGATTTTAATTGCTCTATGTCCTAATTGTTCAGGAGATAAAAGCCCCTGGATGCATTGGGTGCAGTCAGACTGGGTGGCTCCTCATCCACTATTCTTCTGAAGCAGCCGCACCCTGATAACAATCGGTGATAAATTCAGAGTACTAGTTTAGCTCGTCTTAGAAGGATCTCCAGTGCTCTCCCCACCCACAAACCCCCGCTACCCCCATCTTACCTTCTACCCCATCACCCTCCCCTTCCATGCCCATAAGATCAATGAGATTATGCATGTAATAAAAGTGTTTGGAGCCCAGAGCTTGGGGCCAGTGCGGATCCTATGCTTGGGTTGGTCCCCTGGACCTATGCTGTAAATCTACCCTTGTGTCTCCGACTTCATTTTCTTTTCTCAACCCTTCGTCACCGCTGGGACTAAGGGCACCCACGTACGGGGCTGGGTTACTCAATGCATGTTGAAATCCTGTTTCTATTAAAAAATACAAAAATTAGCTGGGCATAGTGGTGGCCACCTGTAATCCCAGGTACTTGGGAGGCTGAGGCAGGAAAATCGCTTGAACCTCAGAGGTGGAGGTTGCAGTGAGCTGAGATTGTCCCACTGCAGTATAGCCTGGACAACAAAGTGAGATTCTGACTCAAAATAAATAAATAAATAAATAAATAAATAATTTAAAAAAAGAAATTATAAAATGATTAAGAATAAATACTAATTAAACTTACTTGATTTTATCATTCAGGTCTTATATAAACAGATATTTTAAAAACTTAAATAACTTGAAACTTTTTTTTAACTTAATTTTTTTTAAAAGATGGGGTTTCAAGCCGGGCGCGGTGGCTCAAGCCTGTAATCCCAGCACTTTGGGAGGCCGAGGCGGGTGGATCACGAGGTCAAGAGATCGAGACCATCCTGGTCAACACGTTGAAACCCCGTCTCTACTAAAGCTACAAAAAATTAGCTGGGCATGGTGGCGCGTGCCTGTAATCCCAGCTGCTCAGGAGGCTGAGACAGGAGAATTGCCTGAACCCAGGAGGCGGAGGTGGCGGTGAGCCGAGATCGCGCCATTGCACTCCAGCCTGGGTAACAAGAGCGAAAACTCCGTCTCAAAAAAAAAAAAAAAAAAAAGATGGGGTTTCACCATGATGGCCAGGCTGGTCTTGAACTCCTGACCTCAAGTGATCCACCCACCTCGGCCTCCCAAAGTGCTAGGATTACAGGTGTGAGCCACTGCGCCTGCCTATAACTTGAGATTTTTAAAAAATTTCTTTCTTGGTGTCTTGGAGAAAGAAAAAAAGAAAACATTTATGGATCAGAAAGAAAAATAAGAGAATGTAAAGTACAAGGTCTTTGGCAAGTGCATACTTGGCAAAAGACACTGGGTTGATACAAAACAAGTTATAAACATCTTAGGCATCTGGGTGTTTTGATTTCTTTTCACCCTTTCTTACTATTTCCTGTGTAGCCTTCTAAAGACAGGCTTCCTGTTGAGAAGCTGAGGTGAAGAGGGAGACCCTGGCTTCTCAGATCAACTTCCCCTTTGACTATCATGCTGCATTTCAATAGAAGAAAAGCTTGACAGACTGGCGCCTCTGGTTATACATTCCAATAGGTGACAGGCTAGGCCTTGGGGAAA